AAGTCTATTAATCTAAAAATGTTCCAGATGCAATTTTTGCATTAAATTCCAAGATAAATTTTGTGTTTGATGTGTATCATGAATATATTGAAATTACAGTTTTGTGTGTTATTTTAAAAATACTTAGATGATCAACAAGCTTTGAACTCAATCATGCAAGATTTGGCTGTCCTTCATAAGGCCAGTCGACCAGCATTATCCTCACAGGAAACCAGAAAAACAAAATCTTCATCACCAAAAAAACAGGTATTTCTTTCAGTAATCCTTTAATCAAATGTATGTCGTTGTTCTGTGAGTTATTTCCCTTTAATATCCTGATCTTGTAGAAGATTTGTTTAAAATGTTTAGCTTTTACACTTTCGAATCAAACATGTTATTGTTCCTTGTTATACTCCCATAAGAGCATGCATTTAAAAAAATAGTAAAATTTCATTTAATGTGGTGTCTGTTCTTTAGAGCTAGCTGATACTTCATCTCTTTTTAAAGCACTTCATATAAGCAAATTATTTTTATTTCAAGTAGTCTATTCTGGAACCTTCCTATTTACAAATAACAATGATTTTGATTCTTATAAATGAGATGAAATTGGCATGTCCAACATGAAAAGTAGAAATATAGCATCCTACATTTTCCTCTGTAACAGGATTATCAGATGTTCCATACTCATGATGCCATCACGGATAGATTTTAGTTCTCTTTTCTGTTGAGCCTAGACTTAGCAACATAATTCTCAACTCAACTCTTTGGCAAACACTATTGATTGATTTTGGAGTTGGCACTAAAATGGAAACCTCCTTCTCTGTGCTCTGTTTTAAATGAGTGGCTAGGAAAAAAAAAAAGAGTTAGAAACTCTAGAAATTTTATTTTATTTCTTAATGATTTTATTTATATGACTGGTTTGTCATTTCATTACAGAATGATGTTCGAGTCAAATTTGAACATAGAGGAGAAAAAAGGTAAGCAAGTAAACATTACATGTCAGTTTATTGATTTAATAAAAAACGTATCCTAGTTAAGTCGTTAAAGGTTTTTTCTAGATTTTAATGAACGTTCATGGCTTACAAGTTGAGAACAGAGTAGTCCTTGGTAATGTTTAATAGGTACTTGGACTTGTTGTTGTTAGGTACCACTGAGTCAATTCCAACTCATAGCGACCCTGTGTACAACAGAATAAAACACTGCCCAGTCCTGCACTATCCTTATACTTAAGATAAGGCTAAACATTAGAATTGATTCATGTTTTTAGTTTGTAACATAGGAAATAAGTAAGAGGAGGTTACTACATAATGCAGCCTTTCAATATTACCAATTCCTTTTAATTTTACTCAGTAGAAATTAAATATATTTCTCATTATCGTTATTACATCATCCCTCCAGATACTATACAGGATTTATATACATGGTCTTACTGTTCACAATTTTGATTATTCTAAGAGACTGAAGGATATGGTATGCATTAAATTAGTAACGTTGAGGAAGGGTGAGTTGGAATGCTGGTTGTAAGTTATTTAGCAGGAGTGTAAACCTAGCCTTCCACTTGGTGTCTCTGTCTCAAAGTGATGGTGGTGGTGGTGGTTGAGCAAAAAATTGCTAAGAAGACCTAAAAGGAGTTAAAGATGATGGGATTTTATTTCTGCTGTTTGTGTGTCTTATTAAATTAATTTAATGAAAAAAATCTATCAGTTTTAAGGACTTTAAAAAGATTCACAAATCATGTAAATTGACATTTAAAATTATTTACACAGAGATACGAAAAATGGGATCTGTAAGCTGTGCTATAGAACTATTCTCCAATCTACTTTTTTTAATGGGTATTTTCCCAATTTTGTTTTAATTCATTCAACACTATTTATCGAGTACTTACTGTGTGTCAGGCACTGTGTTGGCCCTGCAGGGATAATGTGAGAAGACAGACATGGTCCGTCCACTTGTGGAATTTACAGTCTTGTAGTCCCTAAACTTCAGTGCATGCTCTCTAGGGGCAGTACAGGCTAATCCTTTGGGATATAGGAAGAAAATACGAGAATTTTCAATTTATTTTTAAAATTATTTAAAATTTTTTATTTTGGGAGTATGCTTACATGATATATGTTCTCAAAAATGTTGAGTTGATAAGGGTGCAAGATCAAAATTTGAATAACCAAAGAACAACTTTATTCTTTTTGACAGTTTCATTGAATCTCGTTGTGTGGATGTGTCATAGTTAATTTGTTTCCTCAATGGACATTTTACATTGCTCTTTAATATTCATATAACAATTTTAGCACTAATTGAAAATGCAGAAAATTTTGAGAATTTTTTTTCTATTTTTATTAAGATAGAACAAACTTCAGAGTTACTAAACTTTATTTTGAGAATCTATGCACTTGATCAAAAATGAGTTGTGGTGTTCAAATAAAGTGAATGCTTACACTATTTTTACTTAATTTTGTATCTCTTTAGCCAGTAGGTAACTGTTGCAAGTGTGTTATTAGACTGTGCCTAAGAAAATAAAATATTTTAAAATTCTGCCTATATAGAATCCTTCAGTTCCCCAGGCCAGTTAAACTGGAAGATCTGAGATCTAAAGCTAAAATTGCCTTTGGACAGTCTTTGGATCTACACTATACCAACAACGAGGTAAACATGTATATTTTAGCTTTTAATAGTTATTATTTTGGAAAGTAGTTTGTGCATTTAAGAGATTGTTTTAGGACTGTTTGTTGTGCTTTTGCAGGGGATTGACAAGGATATGGTACGGTAGAAGAATAAAGTGTCACAAGTAAATTTGTAAATTTTGACTGATTAATGTGGAGTTTTCCATTCTAGAAAATGTTAGAAGTTGCTACTGTGCAAATAATTGAATGAAGAACTATTATAGGAGGAAGTGTATGCATTACTTGGAACTTATGCTACTTATTCATATTTTTATTCTGTGTGCTTTACTAATTAAGTTGTCCCCAAAGTCTTCCAAAGAATTTATAATTTGCATTACTAGGGGGCACATACTTACAGTCTCGGAAAGAAATCTTTGATGTATTTGCTGATGAACTGTCTTTTCCTCTCATACTGTACACTTGGCTAAGAGACAGTAGAGCTTTGTAGTCAGACTTAATTTAGTTAAAACTTAAAAAAGATTATTTTAGTGTTGGTTAGGACATGATTACATGATTAGGTTTCTAATGCAGAAAAATCTTCCCTTAGGAGTCATCAGGTTTGATGTTAAGGGCTTGCTTTGGCACTAAAGAGAGCTCTGTTCTGGGGAAACCCAGTTTTTGTTTGTTTTACCGTCTGTAGAATCAGGGTTAGATCAGATTGTTTCTGAGGTTTCTTTCAGTTCCTGAGAGCTTAAATTTTACAAGGACGATTTAATTAGTCCATTAGTTAGTTTATTTTCAGAAGATACTAATTGAACGCCAAACAAACATTATTTGCATTAAAACACTGTACACCAGGCTTAATACTGTGACTTATGAGTTGCAGTCCCTCATGGAGTTTATATACTTGTGGTAGAAACAGATAATCAATAAATGAGTTGTTTAATATATGAAGTTCTTTGAAGGAAAAGGATGAAGTATTGTGAAAGAATAAAGGCCCAGGGCAGTAGGTGTCCTACTACAAGCTGAAAGGTTGGCAATTGACCCTCTCCCCTGCCCTCTCAAAGGCGCCTTGGAAGACAGGCCTGGTGGTCTGCTTCTGAAAGGTCATAGCCTTGAAAACCCTATGGAGCAGTTCTACTCAGGACACATGGGATCGCCGTAAGTCAGAATCCACTCGATGGCAGCTAACAACGACAAGGAAGAGCTAACTGAGGTGGTGATGTTTATACTGAGACATGAAGTATGAGAAACCAGCCATGCAAACAATTTCAGAGGAAGGGCGTTCCTGATGGTGAAAACAGTGCATGCAGAGGTTACAAGATGGAAAAGACTTGTATGTTTTAGGAATAGAAAAAGTACCAGTGGGCATGGAGTCGCAGAGTAGATCTTAGTAAAAATAAACGTGAAATAACATATGAAAGTGCTTTGCAAATATTAAAACATGCAAATACAAATATTTGAAAATACTAGATTTTAAAATGAAGTATTGTTAATGTAAAGCAAAAGAAAATGTTAATACAGCTTGTTAATACAGCTTGTTAATACAGCTCAGAGCTAGAAATATTTTGTTGGTAAAAATCAGTATTCTAAACAATGTCCCCAAACAAAGTGATGAGAACTGTACTATAGTAATACCGTAACATTTTATTTTTCAAATATTTTGGGGCTTTTCAATCAGCCACGAACACCTGTTATTGGCCAGTCCATTTCTCAGCACTTACTATCTCTGTCCATGCTGGCCTGATTTCCAGCTGGCAGCACCTGAGATTCTGAGGGTGTTCTTGCCTCCAGGGCTATGGTCACTAGGTCTTGTGTCTAGGCTGAAGTGCATTGGTTGGGGGTGGGCCTCAGGGTGAGGGAGTGGGAGGTGGATGGTCTCCACTTGCTCATAGTTGTAACTTGCTGGGTAAATACACCCTTTATGAGCCTCCTTCCTTTCGCTGTCTTCTCCCATTCCCGTATCAGAGTTCTCTGGTATCTTTTTCTATGTAAATGACTTGAACTTACAGAATGATTCTGGGGGAGCCTAGACATACCTTTTTTTGTGTAAAATTGTATCATGGAAAACTTTGAAATGCCAAGATACATTAAATCTATAATATTGCCTTGATCTTCTATCCTACTGGGTCTGTCAAGATTTGGCATGATTTGTTCATATTGTAGCTATGCCGGGTCCCACAACTGCTCTCTTTTCTGAGTTCTCCCAATTTATTTATATAGTTTTTTTCTCTAGAAATTTCTTGAGGATTGACATTAAGCTAACTGATCTGTAGTTTCAGGAACCCTCTCCCATTTTCTAAAAATTGAGAAAATTTCCCCCGTTTCAGTTTCTTCTTATCATGTTTTCTGAAGGATTGCTAGGAGTGGTTCTACCGTTATATCCAGGTGGCCCCTTGGCAGAATTTGGTAGATGTGTAGAGGTGGCATTAGAGTAAGATTACATTTGCGATTCTGTGAATTAACCTTGTTCTGATTCACATTCTGACAAACCATCCCAAACCAAATACATGCCCTTGGATAAATGGGTACTAGGAAACAATGTAGATGGGGTGTTAGTTTTGGAGACTTGTGGACAAGTGAAAATCTCATTTATACTGCATGTTACTCCAGTTCTGTGAAGATTTTGTTTTTAGTGTGATATAAATTCTCGTGTTCAGAATGAACCATTATTCCATAAACTTCTAATTTGCAAGAACCAAAACCATCAGGACATTTAAGGTGGGGTTGCCTAGGTTTGTTACTTTTGCTCCTCTTTATCTACTCTAACAAGGTTTTGTGTGAGTATGTATTCATGTCGGGGGGGGGGTTGGATGTGCAGGCAAAATAAGTGGGTTTTCTAAGATCTTTCCTATCTTAGATGGGTAGACCAGGAAAATCTTTTTGTGGGCTATTTTCATTCTTCACTATCAGGAAGATAATTGACTTGTTTCAAATTTAGCTTCTATTTAATGGATTCTTGGACTCAATTTTTAGTTTCCGTTCCAGAAAGGATTTATATTAACATACAACTGACTCATCAAAAATAAGCCAGTGAGAAATAGATTTCATTATTGAAGCTGAAATGAGTTCACCAAGCAGGTGAAGAAAACTTCCTGTGATTTATTTAGTATGATTTAGACAAGCTGGGACTTGTTCTTAACACTTAGTCTTTTTTTAATATTGGTGGTTGTAGGTGATCTTAGAATTTACAAGGGCTCACATAAGAACCATAGACAGTAGTCCAAGCCATTGTGCCAGGTACTCCTCTGGAATGCCCAAATACCACATCAGCAAACTGAAGAAGAGCAGAATCATTTGCATTAATATTTTGTTACTATGATTTAAACTAATGCTTATTTCCCTAAGAGCAACAGTACTTTGGAGAAGTAAACAATCCTATTTTAAATAAATTTATAGTAAAAGTAAGCATTTGGATTTTGCCTTACAGTGAAAAATTGGCAGAACAATCTTCACCATTTCCAGTGCTTATAACATAATAAAAAAATATTGAAGATAAGAGCAAGGTGTACCAGTATGGTTTATAATTGGTGGGAAAATGAAATAAGTTTATTAAAGTCTTATGTCAATACTAAGTTGACATAAGGTATTTTGATTTTCTTATGTGAATCACAATTTTTCTGATGGTACTCTCTGGTGCTTTTGTCTGATCCATGAGATGACTAATGAAAGCAGATTTCCATGTTCAGGGTCACTAGAGGCTGGCCAACGCATTTAGCTTATTTGTTTTAGAGTGTAGTGTTGAAGTCACCAGGGTCAGATGAGAACCCCAGGTGGGCTCTAGACTGCAGCTAGGTTAGTAGTGGCACCCCCATGGCAGCTGTCACTGATGTTCGTGACGTTGCCATGTTGATAGGTAAGCACACCAGGTTAGAGTGCGAATCGTGATTACTGTTGGAAAAAGAACTCAAAGTTTCATCCGTGCAGATGAAAGATGATGCTTTATTTTGTATAATTTTTATGTTTACCCTTAATGCTGTTTAGGGGTGAATATACTATAAAGTTTAACCATATAATATAAATATCCTAGAAAATTAATCTTTAAATGTATTTTCTAGAAGAATTTTATGATGAGTAAACCAAATTTTAAAATATTTGCCCATATTCATTCTGTGATTTTAGTGATGATAGGATGGGGAGAGCAAAAAAATCTAGATAAGTATATTTATCCAGACTTTCAGTTTAGTGACAAAATAAAGAGCAAAGTGTTTTGAGATTTGTTATTCTCTAGGAATAGGGATGCTGCTCCTGGAAGGATATGACCTGATGAAATGGTTATGTGACTCTTTGTGTCCCTTTTTTTTTAGTTGGTAATTCCACTAACTACTCAAGATGACCTGGACAAAGCTGTGGAACTGCTAGATCGTAGTATTCACATGAAAAGCCTCAAGATACTACTTGTAGTAAATGGCAGTACACAGGTGGGAACTGGAATAGTTTTATTTCAGTAAAGATGATGGGATTTATCTCTATATGAACAAAGTTACTTTTTGTAATCATTGATCATATTTTCAGTGTGATTGTCAACTTACATACTATAATCGCTATAGTTTAATATCCTTGTTCCTCAGAAGCACATAGCCGAAACTACAAGTAAGTATAGTATATTGTACATATGAAACCAATAGAAACTGAGAACTTGAGGAGAATTATATTAAAATTTCAAAGAGTAGAAGATTTGGTAAGACCCACAAACAATGCACAATAGCTAGGTTGTGTTTGGTAGGGGAGAGGGTTCTGTTTAAAGCTCTAAGAGGGAGAATAGCATTAACTGTCCTTTTTCTTTGGCAGGCTACTAATTTAGAACCATTGCCTTCACTAGAAGACTTGGATAACACAGTATTTGGAGCAGAAAGGAAAAAACGGCTTTCTGTGATAGGTAAGAATGCTAGCGTCTGAATCATGAAATGGGTAATTTCTCAACTTCTTATCCATCCTTTAATGTAGGGCAACACTTAAACATCCAAAACGAAAATCCATTGCTGTCGAGTCAATTCCAACTCACAGCAACCCTATGGACAGAGTAGAACTGCCCCATAGGGTTTCCAAAGCTGTAAATCTTTACGGAAGCAGACTGCTACATCTTTTCTCGTGCGGAGTGGCTGGTGGTTCAAGCTGCAGCTGAGCGTTTTAACCATCATGCCACCAGGGCTCCTTATATCTAAGCATACCTCTGATAAATAGCAGCCTGTAATTTACCCAAGTTAAACCGCTTTATAGCATCTGAGTTCCCTTGGAAATTGAGTCAAGTATTAAAGGATTTGTTGTTGTTGTAGTGTGCCGTCGAGTTGATTTCGACTCATAGTGACCCTATATGACAGAGTAGAATTGCCCCATAGGGCTTCCTAGGTTGTAATCTTTATGAAGCAGATTACATTTTCTCCTGCAGAGTGGCTGGTGGGTTCGAACTACCAACCTTTCAGTTAACAGCTGAACGCTTAACCATTGTGCCTCCCACAGAATTAGCAATCTTTAAGTTTTTTAATGTTTGACAAATTCTGATAAAACTTTGAAGAGGTTTTGATTGTACCAATAAACTGAAAGAAAAAATATGAAAAGAAGTAATTTCAGAATATTAAAATTAACAAGTAGACTAGAGTCTAAGTTCATAAGCCTTTCTCTAGGGTTTTAGTTATTGCCGAGAACGTTATCAAAATAGAGCTTGCTAAGAATTTACAGATTACACTTCATTAGTATTCAATTTTTATGTGCCACTGATAATGCACTATGTTCTAATTAAGTTTATGGTATAAAGAAATATGGATCCTGTGCTGTCTTTTAAAAGTGACCTGTAGAGAGGCATGGGCTGGGCAAAGGTGCTTAAACTCCCCAGTTCTGTTTACCTTCTTCAGTTTGCATAAAACATCGATAATCCATGCACATTTTCATAGGATAAAGCTTTACGTTGTTCAAAAACCTACTTGTGTAAACATTTTTCACAGATAGGGCAGTGAATATGGTCATTAAAGATAACACGAAAACACAGGAGGAATGAATTCGAAGCAGAAAAGCAGGAGAAACAGCTGAATAGGGAGGAAGCTAGAGAGGGGGGCAAAAAAGAAGAGTGGTGAATCTAAGAAATGACAAAGACTGGTCACAGAGGAAGATTGTTGAGGATGAAAGGAAAGATTAAATTGGCTGTGAACTACCCAAAAATCTATTATTCATCTTCTCTTTTGTTCCCCAGAGGAAACTATTTTGTAACAATTGGCTTCTAAGTGCCTGTCTTAAACCAGTCCTGCTTTTGGTTTCAGCCGTGCTGGGAATGTGAGCAGCAGAGGTGATTTACAAGTAAATAAAAATTGCTTGTTCTTCCCATTGGGATGTTTTTTGATATAATTTTTTAACAATTGGTGAAAGAACATTTGAGATACCTGAATTCAAATCCCAGCTTTCAGAATAACCTGAGACTAGTGACTTTGTTCTCATCTTTAAGTCACGGGATTGTTGTAACAATAAATTGAGAAAACACTTTTAAAGTACATTTTACTTTCCAAACTAGAAAGCATGACTGTTAAATCATGTGTTTCTTTCTTCATCTGCATTTCTTATCACATAATAGTATCTGTCACACTAATGAAAAAATTGCCAATTCACTTTAATTACATTCCCAAAACCAAAAACCAAACCCACTGCTGTCAAGTCAATTCCAACTCATAGTGACCCTCTAGAACAGAGTGGAACTGCCCTGTAGGGTTTTCAAGGTTGTAATCTTTATGGGAGCATACTGCCACATTTTTCTCTCACGGAGTGGCGGTGGGTTCGAACCGCCAGTCTTATGGTTAGCAGCTGAGCACTTAACCACTGTACCACCAGGGCTCCTTCAGGCATGAGTGGCATTTATCTAAAAATCTATACTGTATTGTCAGCCTTTGATGTAGGTTTTCACTGGCCAATTTTTTTAGAAGTAGACTGCCAGGTCCTTCATCCTAGTCTGTCTTAGTCTGGGAGGCTCTGCTGAAACCTGTCCACCAAGGGTGACTGCTGGTATTTGATGTACCGGTGGCAAAGCTTCCAGTATCACAGCAACACACAAGCCACCACAGTATAACCAAGTGATAGACACGTGGTGGAGTTGTCAGCATTCAGAAAAAATGCCTTCTAGTAAATATGAATGAATACTGTGATGAGATTAATCATTATCTATAGTAGACTAGGAGTTTAGAAAAGATATAAAAACATTTGAAGTTTTACAAACATGAATGTTCTGTTAACTTTTTCTTTTTCCTTCTAAATTTTATTTGTTTTGTTGTTATTGTTGAGAATATATACAGCAAAACATAGACCAACAGTTTCTACATGTACAAGTTAGTGACATTGATTACATTCTTCAAGTTGTGTAACCATTCCCACCCTCCTTTTCTGAGTTGTTCCTCCCTCATTAACATAAATTCACTGCCCCCTAAGTTGCGTATCTAATCTTTTAAGTTGCTGTTGTCAGTTTAATCCCATATAGATAGTTCTTAAAAGAGCATACTGCTCAAGGCAGACCTTTTTCACTAAGCTAAACTGTTGTTTGGTTTTAAGATGACTTCAGGGGATATTTTTGGTTTAAGGTTTAAAGATTATCTCAGGGCAGTAGTTTCAGGGTTTCATCCACCCTCCATGGCTCCAGAAAGTCCAGAGCCCGTGAGAATTTGAAATTCTCTTATGCATTTTCCCCCTTTTGATCAGAAGTCTGTGGAATCTTTGATCAAAATGTTTAGTAATGGTAGCTGGGCACCATCCATTTCTTTTGGTCTCTTGATAAAGGAGGCAGTTGTTCATGGAGCAGTTAACCACACATTCCATATACTCATGCTGTTCCTGACTGCCCTTCTTCCTCTTTTGTTCCCGGTGAATAGAGACTAATGGTTGTGCCTTGCATGGCCGCTTACATGCTTTTAAGACCCCAGGCACTGCATGTTCTGTTAACTTTTAATAAAAATAAGGTTTTGGTTGCTGAAGACTTTTGGCGTTATGGTCCATAAATTGTGTGTTAACTTAAACAATTGATTTTCTTGCTGATATTTATAAAATGATATAATTTTTTTCCTTTGAGGTTCTACTAGTAGAGATAGAAATTCCCCTCCCCCAGGATACATTCCAGATGAATTACATCAGGTTGCCCGGAATGGGTCATTCACTAGTATCAACAGTGAAGGAGAGTTCATTCCAGAGAGCATGGACCAAGTAAGTAAAAGTTTGATGTGGACTTTCATTTTACTGAAACGTATGTTGCTAGGGTCATTGTGATTTGGCAGGTACCTGGTGTGGGTGTGTGTGTGTCTGTGTGTTTTTTTTTTTTTTTTTACCCTGCTCTTCAATCCCATGTCTTCCTTCTTAAGTGAATAAAAAAACAAAAAATATAAGAAAATGCCCACTAATTTACATTGATGTATAAAGAATACTGGAACAAGGCTGATTTCTTGTAATGCTCATCCATAAATGAATGAATGTATCTGTTTGTAATTCTGGGGTTAACATTCAGATTTGTAATTTAACATTTGGAAGATGTAATAAAACTATACATATTTAACTTTGTGAAGCTGAGGTTTGTGAACTTCTCAAACATTTTAAAAGGTAGTTTTACAGTATTGAAATGTTTTCACGGAGTTGCTGTTGTTTTCTTAACATTACACTGAATGCTCATGCTATTGTAGAATAGTTTACATTTTGTAATAAGGTAGCAGTCACAGTGTCATTAGCCATAATTTGTTTGGGGTCATTGTTCAGTTTCAGTTAGCAAAATTGCGTGAAATATTTTAGCTTTTAATTATTTAACTAGTGCTCTGAAGAAATGCAATGCTGGAAGCGCTCACTTGTCTATACCAAGAAGTTTGCTAGACAGCTTCCTGGCCATCTGACTGAAAGGGATCCATATTTGTGCCCATTCCAAAGAAAGGTGATCCAACAGAATCTGGAAATTATCCAACAGGATCATTAGTATCACATACAAGTAAAACTTCGCTGAAGATAATTCAAAAACGATTGCAGCAGTCCATTGACAGGGAAATGCCAGAAATTCAAGCCAGATTCAAAAGAGGACGTAGAACGAAGAATATCATTGCTGATGTCAGATGAATCTTGGCTGAAAGCAGAAAAACCTGTGTTTTATTGACTGTGCAAAGGCATTAGACTGTGTGGATCATAACAAGTTATGGATAACATTGTGAAGAATGGGAATTCCAGAACACTTGCTTGTGCTCATGTGGAACCTGTACATAGACCAAGAGACAATCATTTGAACAGAACAAGGGGATACTGTATGGTTTAAAGTCAGGAAAGGTGTGAGTCAGGGTGGTATCCTTTCACCATACTTACTCAATCTATGTGTTGAGCAAGTAATCCCAGAAGCCAGACTGTGTGGAGAACGAGGCATCAAGATTGGAGGAAGACTCGTTAACAACTTGTGATACTCAGATGACACAACCTTGCTTGCTGAAAGTGAAGAGGACTTGAAGCAGTTACTGTTGAAGATCAAGGACTACAGCCTTCAGTATGGATTACACCTTAACATAAAGAAAACAAAAATTCTCACAACTGGACCAATAAGCAACATCATGATAAACAGACAAAATATTGAAGTTGTCAAGGATTTCATTTTACTTGGATTACAGAATCAGTGCCCATGGAAGTAGTGGTCAAGAAGTTAAGGGACGTATTGCATTGGGCAAATCTGCAAAAGACCTCTTTCAAGTGTTGAAAAGCAAAGATGTCCCTTTGAAGACTAAGGTGTCCCTGACCCAAGCCAGGTTTTCAGTTGCCTCATGCATGTGAAAGCTGGATGCTGATTAAGGAAGACTGAAGAAGAATTGATGTCTTTGAATTATGGTGTTGGCAAAGAATATTGAGTACACCGTGGACTGCCAGAAGAATGAACCAGTCTGTCTTGGAAGAAGTATAGCTGAAATGCTCCTTAAAAGCGAGGATGACGAGACTTTGTCTCATGTACTTTGGATGTGTTATCAGGAGAGACCATTCCCTGGAGAAGGACATCATGCTCGGTAAAGTAGAGGATCAGTGAAAAAGAGGAAGACCCTCAACGAGATCAGTTGACACAGTGGCTGCAACAATGGGCTCAAACATAGCAACAATTTTGAGAATGGTACAGGACCGTGCAGTGTTTCGTTCTGTTATATGTAGGGTTGGTATGAGTTGGAACTGACTCGACGGCATCTAATAAAACTATGAAGATAGTATTTTTCTCTTGGGAAATTTTGAAGTGTTGGCTTCTTTATAAGGCACAGCTACATTTAAAACATTTGAAAACTAGTAACTCTGGGGAGTGACTGCTAATGAGTATGGTATTGCTTTTTGGGGTGATGAAAGTGTTATGAGATTGTGGTGGGGATTGCACAACGCTGTGAATGTACTGAAGACCATTGAATTGTATAGTTTGAATGGGTGAATTTTATCGTATATGAATTATATCTCACTAAAGCTGAAAGAAAGAAAAACCAGTAACTTTAGGTTCTATCTCATTTCATCATAAGTGATACTCTTGTTTATTTTTCTAGATGCTGGATCCATTATCTTTAAGCAGCCCTGAAAATTCTGGCTCGGGAAGCTGTCCATCACTTGATAGTCCTTTAGATGGGTAATGTGGATTGTGGTTTTTGTTTCTGAATATATGTGGGTAAATAGTTAGCTTGTTGAATTATCAAGGACTCTTCTATGCTACATTCAGAGGAGAGTAGTTGATACTTGTCTGTACTTATAACGAATGTTTTCCCAGTTTGAGCAAATCCCTTAACCTCATGGGGCTCAGTATCTTTATTAGTTAAGATAGTATCTTTAGGGTTTCTTCTGATTATACTATTCTGAGTATTCCTGCTTGCCAAAATTGCGTGTTTGAAGCTAAATGCAAACTTAGAATTCCTGTACATTTACTTTTAAAACTGTGTTTGTGAAAGTACTATCACAATTTTCAGTAATATGTTTGTTTTTGGAGAGTTCTGGAGTTGCTGCACCTGTTTAGGATCATGTTCATTTCAGCACCAGATTAGAAATAACTGACATTCTTGGTAATTGTGATCTGGTGTGTTAGTTGTCATTTCAAAAATTTAAGTACTTTTGCTTTGTGAAATAGTTGTTTAGGAATACAAGTGGGGTCAAGTTGCAGCTGTGAATTTTCTGTGAAAAGTGCTCCCTCCCCTGGTCTCAGTAAGACAGTGTTCTTGATTGACACACTGTAGGACACAAGAGATTCATTATCTTTATTAAAATCGTTACTTAGTTTCCTCTTGGATTGCTTTATGAAAGCAAATTGTGGAAAGATAACTGATATTATGTGAGAATATACATTTAAATTTCTCTTACCTGTATACATGAAACCTCTCTCTGTTAACATTTACTTCAAGTAGACATTTAGAAATTTAGGGAAATACTGATAAAGCTGTAGTTTATTGCGCACTTACTATTCAAAGGCACTGTCCTGACCCCTTTACGTATATACACTTGAAATTATTATCTCCTTTTTTAGATGAGGAAACAGTCTCAGAAAGGTGATTTGCCAGGATTACACAGCTAGTTTAGTGGCGGAGCTAGGATTGAAACACAGGTTTGTCTGATTCCAAAACTTATCATTCTTATCACTAGACTGATTAATTTTAAATGTCAGGCTTTTTTGCTTGCCTGTATAAATAAATGTCTAAAAGGAAGTTTCCCTTTTGTCAGTTATGTTAACATTTCAGGGTGAGCTCTATTATATATTTTCATATGCACACACACACATATACACTGAAATTGTTTTAAGACTTTAAAAAATGTCTTATTTACCTAGTTTCTCTTAATTTAATGTGGTATTTTGTACTTACAGAGAGAGCTATCCAAAATCACGAATGCCTAGGGCACAGAGCTACCCAGATAATCATCAGGAATTTTCAGGTTAGACTACTCACATTCTAAATGTTTAAATATTTATGTCATTGTGCAATGTTTTGGCTGGGAAGGAGGGGAGATTTTTTAAAAAATCAAATAAAAATTTATAATTGTGTTTTTTATCATTAGAAATATTTGAGTGTTTTTCTGTTTATAACATATAACATTTCCTATGTGTCTTAACAGACTATGATAACCCTATCTTTGAGAAATTTGGAAAAGGAGGAACATATCCAAGAAGGTATCATGTTTCATATCACCAGCAAGACTATAATGATGGTAAGTGTCTGGCAATTTGACCACAAGAACAGTTTGTTAAAAATCTCATATTTATATAATATCCTTAGAAATGGGTTTGTTCCTGAATCACTTAGTTTTCTGGGTTTTTTTTTTTTTTTTTAATGTTTTTAGGAAAATTGGATTATAATTAAAACTATAATAACATTTTAGCTTTGTGTTAACTTATCTCATAATACTAGTCTTTGTTTTGTTTTTGTTTTTTTGTTTTTTGAAGAAAAGGAGTAGTTAAAAAGACGAGATTAACTACAAAATTACTCGATGATGGAATGCATACTGGCATTGCCCCTTTAAGGAAAAACTATTACTACCTATAAACTTATGATTTTTGTTTTATATTTTTAAATCATTATTGGAAATGAGTAAAAAGTTTTTTCTCCTTTCTATTCAAAAGTAGGAAACTCTGGTGGTGTAGTGTTTAAGAACTACAGCTGCTAACCAAAAGGTCGGCAGTTTGAATCCACCAGGTGCTCCTTGGAAACTCTATGGGACAGTTCTGCTCTGTCCTGTAGGGTCGCTATGAGTGGGAATCATCTCAGCTGCAACGGGTTTGGTTTTCTGTTTTATATTCAAAAGTAAGGGGGTTTGATTTTCTTATTTTCTTGTGTGTGTGTGTTTCACCCTAAGAAATTATTTGAATTTGCAGTCAGATCCTGTTCCCTGCCCCCACCCCCACTCTTCTCTTTGTTTTCACCTTTTCTTTTTCTTGTTTTTTTTAAACTGCTCTTAAGTTTAAAACATATAATCAAATAATCTTTGCTATTTCAATTCTTACCAGGACAAATTTTTCCCTAAATTTCAGGTATTAACTATATTATAGTACAATATATTAATAAAATATATAAGGTAATTTTTTTTTTCATTTTGTAGGTCGTAAAACTTTTCCAAGAGCTAGAAGGAACCAGGGGACCAGCTTCCGGTCTACTGTGAGTTTTAGTCCTACTGACCATTCCTTAAGCACTAGTAGTGGAAGCAGTATCTTTACTCCAGAGTATGACGACAGTCGAATAAGAAGAAGAGGAAGTGACATAGACAATCCTACTTTGACTGTAATGGACATCAGCCCACCCAGCCGGTGTAAGTAATAGAAATTGGCATAGTAAAACGTATAGCAGAAACTTTGCAGAGTTTTATAATATTTAAAGGGATGAATACCAAGTGAGTCTCAGGTGAGACCAGCTTCTCAAAAGAAGTTATAGTGATGTTTCCAAAGATGGTGGAAAAGTGAAGTAGTAAGCATAGTATCACTGCTAATTACTTTAGAAGATTCTGTCCTTTGTTTTTATTACCAATTAGTCCATTCATTCATTCCACATGTCCTTGTTGAGTGCCTAGCACTGAGATTTCAAAAATAACCTGTAATACACAGAGAAGTAATTATAGTATAGTATTTAATCTGCATCTTGAGTAGGAATTCACCAGTTAAGGATGGGACCATGTACAAGAGGGCATGGCATGTTCCAGAAATGGGCAGTAGTTCATTTTTGGCTTAAGTGGAGAATGTGTTTCTTAAAGTTATAGGAATAGGACTAGAATGGTAGCTAGGGGCCCAATTGTGAAGTATTCCGACTTTACCTTGTAAGCGTTGCATACAAAGATTCATGCTCTAAAATATTTATTGTAGCAATATTTGCATACTCCCATTTGCTCCCTTTTGTACTGGTGTTGTTATATATTTTACATCTATAACCGCACACTACGTTGCTACTAATTTTGCTTTAGACGGTTATCTTTTAAAGTTGTTAAAATAAGAGAAGAATGCCTTTTATATATACCTTCAGTTTATCTATTTCTATTTATCTTTATGTAGATTCAAGTCAGGTATCAAATGTCTTCTTCCTGAAGAACTTCCTTTAACATTTCTTGTAATACAAGTCTGCTAGTAATAAATTCGTTCAGCTTTTGTTTATTTATAAAAGGCCTTTCTTTCTCTTTTTTCATAGTTTTTTTTTTTTTTTTCTGGGCATAGTCTTTTTCTTTGAGCACTTTAAAGATAATCCCTCCATTTTCTTCTGGCTTATGTAATTTCTGAGGAGAAGTCTGCTGGATTTCTTATTTTTGTTCCTCTATATGTAGCATGCTTTTTTTTTTTTCAATCTGGCAGCTTTTAAGATTTTATCTTTATCTTTGGATTTCAACAGTTTGAATATGATATGTTTCGATATATTTTAGAGGGAGGGGTTTCCTGACTTGTTCTCTGAGTTTGTTAGATTTATGGTTTGTCTATTAAAAATTGTAAGCCATTTTCTTCTCAAATATTTCTTCTGCCTCTTTCTTTCTTTTTCTCTCTGGGGGCCCAATTACAGTGAAATCTGTGAGAGTTGGAACTCAATAGGATTGCCTTGTTTTTCCGGATCTCGCAAGTTTTCTGCCTTTGACAGGGTGCAGTCTTACCAGTTTTCTATCGTTAAAAGAATCCTACCTCGTAAACACCCAGAAAGTGTTTCTTTTCGATTTTGTAGGGCTGGAAAAGAAACCAAACTATTTTTTATGATTTGCACGTTTATTCAAACTGTGTACAAATATGTGCATATAGTATTAAAGTAAAGATTTGGGTAAAATTCACTTCTAAATAAAAACATCTAATGTCAACTGTTTGTTTTGTATTTTGATGAAATTATTGAAACAAATTTCTAAGTTCATAGCCTTATCAAAAAACCCTTGATCTCCTTTAACATTTCCAAATTCCGTCAAAGCCTTTATACAGCTGAAAACTTATGTTTGACTTAAAGGCCCAGGCTCTTCTGATGGTAGGTCTTCATCACTATCATAGTTGTCATCTTTAGATTGCAAGTCCACAATTTCTTGCAGGTTTATATTGTCCACTTCTGTGGCGATTTCTTTGTCATTATCAATGTAAGATGTGACACTTGACACTATTTTCTGAAACGCCACTATAAATGTCATTTATTGCGTCCTGAATTTGCATGATATTACCGGGCTTGGTAACGGTTTCATTTGTATTCTGTCACCACGGCCAAATAAGCAACCGCAGCTCTTAAAGCATTTCCATTGCCATCTTGCACATCTCAGTGTTGACAATCACTTATTGAAGCAATAGCTTCCTGTATTTTAATATTTTGGATAATACCATTATCCAGAGGTTGGAGGATCCATGTCATGGATGGTGGGAAAATAATTTAAAATTGGACGGGGCAGTGACTGATGACAAGTAGCATTGTCAACAAACAAAAGAATGCTTTGATTTTGTTTTTTCATGCTACTGTTGATTTTATTTAAAACCTTTTCATAAATAGATCCCGTCATCCAAGCTTTTTTGTTCCATTTCCATTCTTCTGAAAGCTGATTAATTTTTATATTCTTGAAACACCATGGTCTCTTGCTCTTTCCAATTACCCATGGTTTCTGAAATGTCCCATCTGCAAACATGGTCAAGATGATGGTAAGCCACTCTTCCAAAAACTGACCCTGTGAGCATTTTTCGCCTTTCATTTTTAGGGTCCTGTTAGGCAATTCCTTGTAAAACAGAGAAGTCTCATTGGCTTTGCAATGTCTTTAGAATTGTATCCCCTTATAGTCTCTTTTAATTTTGTGAACCAGTTATGAAAAACATCTTTGTCAACCTTGTTTGACTCCCCACAAGCTACATTGCAAGTGATTCCAAGTTTTGATTTTTTTTCTAAGCTCTGAAACCACCTCTTAGACACTGAGAATCCATCAGCTTTTAAAAGTTTTGCCATTTCCTCTGCCTTTGCCTGCAGGATAGGCCCTGAAATGGGAACATTTTTGGTGGAGGCTTGAAGAAACCATTCAAAAACAAATTCGTTGATTTCTGCATAATTTCCATCCCTTCTTTCCTGACGTTTATGTTGGTGCTGTTCATGTGTTTTTTCAATTATTTTATCCTTTTCTTTCACAATTGAGTAAATTCTCATTTTGCTGCTTTTGAACTTACTTACAGCTTCCTTGATGGCCATTTTCTCTTCAGTTATCATTTTGACAACGTCAGACTTTACTTTCAGAGATAAATTTCTCTCTCTTGTCCATTGCTGTGAAGGAATAAGCTTCTTTAAAAAAGGAAACAAAAAAGAAAATAAGTTCCTCTAAAAATTAAGGAATTTATGGTCTTATCCTCTTGAAAATGTGAATATCTCAAACAAAAAGAAAACTCTCAACACCAGCATATGCTAAAGTTAGCACACCTCAGTAGAACATTTAAGGAAAAAAAAACGTGTGAGAAGAATGTTTTTGGTTTTGTACGCATAGTGAGTATGTTAAGTGAGGAAATGCTTCCCTGTTTTTCAGGCAAAACAAGAAATTTTGAAGAAGAGTTTCAAGGAAATGAAGGAGTGGATTTTGAAAATTATAATGACTATCAAAATTACAAATAGCTAAAGCAAAAACTAAAAATTAAAGATAGGGAGAAGAGCAAAGCCTCTAAAGACAAGGAAAAAAGTGTGCTTTGCTAGATTTTAATGAAAATAAAGGAATTTATTACTATCTCTTACCTTCTTCCAAACTTATGAATGTTGTTCTTCACTGGAAAAAAATTTACAGGCCAAAAACACAAAAAAGGTAAAAATGTAAATAGACATACTCTGAGAACAGTAGCGATGCACATTATGCCCTCAAACACAGTAACAATGCAAAAGGAAGTGGAAGAGTGAGCCTTCATCTCTAACTCTTGTACTTCTTGGAACTATTTCCAGCTTTTGCATCTGTGCTTCTTCGTATTCGGGCTACAATACCAACAATTTTCTGATTCCATCTGTGTCTCATGGATTCCAGCTTTCAGAGAATACTTACTAGGCAGAGATAATCATTTTAGTAGAAAATATTTGAGTTTTCTTTCTCTGTCAGGTTTCTGCTTATGCAGGTAATGGCTTTTACAGCTTTTACTGTACATGTCTAGTAGACTATTTAGTATTGCCCCACAGCTCTGGGTTTTTTGTTTTGTTTTTTTCTTTTCCCTCTTTGTGTTTTAGTTTGGAGAATTTCTTTTGATCTATTTTCAGGTTCACCGATTTTTTTCTTGGCTGTGTCATGAGCCTGTTAAAGACATTCTCTGCCTCTGTTTTGTTTTAATTTCAGCCATTTCTATTTGCCTCTTTCTGCAGTTTCTCTCTGTTGAAATTTGACATCTGTTCATGTATGTTTTCTACCTTTTCCACGAGAGACTTTAACATGTTGATTATAATTATTTTAAATTTCTTGTCTGACAGTTCATGCGTCTGGGTCATCTCTGAGTCTGCTTCTATTGATTGCTTTGTCTCTTGATGGTTTTTTTTTTTTTGCTTTTTTGTGTCTTGTAATTTTATAATGAATTCCAGATACTATGCGTAGAACCATGGAGACTGAGGTAAATAGTATTTATGCTTAGAAATAGACCCACTTCTTCTACTAGGCCACTATTATGGAAGTTGAGTTAATCTGGTCAGGAGTTGAACTTGGTTTGGATTTTGTTGTTGCTGTGGTCACTACGTACCACTAACTTCAAATTCTTCTAGAGTCACCTTGTGCTTAGGATGGAGGCTGCTTCCAGAATGTTTTTCTTGATACCATATTTTTATGCAAATAACATGTACCTTCTACGTTTGTTTGCCATCTGCACTCTCTGCCCACGAGGTATTTTTGTAAGTGCTGTTACGCCAATATTTTTTTACACGTTGCTGTAAAAAGATTAGCATAACACACTTACAAAAATACCTTGCGGGCGGAAAGTGCAGCTGGCAAACACATAGAAGGTGCATGTTATTTGTGTATAAAATACAGTAATCCTGCTCCACTCTCAGCTTTTGGTCTTCCTTGTTTGCCAGCTCCTCTCAGAGGGTCTTTCTCTGTGTCCTTGCCCCTCCCATAACAATATATTGCTGTTTTTGTTAACCTGGAACAGGGGAGTGCTCTCTGTTACCCTGGTCCAGCTTTGGTCTTAGTCAGGCTGGCCTATGTCCCTGGTTCTCAGCGATAGGCTTTCTCAGTGATCCTTCCCTTCCTCCAGCCTATCTTTCCTTAGATTTTAGGCGAGTTGGTTGTCTAGTAATCTCAATTTTCTGATAGATTCAAGAATAGCTATGATTTTGTAGATTATGTGGGTGATGGTCTTTCCAACTTTCTTCATTATAGGTGTAAGCTGGAAAACTACATATATGGCTGCAGTAGATTAGACATAGTGCATATTAGAGTCACTGGCATCTTAGATTCAGTGAACAGGAAAAAAAATCATTGGAAAAGAATGAGTCATGGGAATGTGAACCTTCTTTGGGCTTAGAATTCTTAGAACATTGACTGCAAAAAAATTCCGAAAGATGCTGACTATTGTAAACTCAGACGATCATGATTTTCACTTCTATACAAATATATTCAATTTAATGAAATATACTCATTTAGTCCTTAACCATTTGTGTGCCATCTGACTATTCCCTTTTAAGAAAATGTTCTTTCTCAGCACCTCGTGCTCCAACCAACTGGAGATTGGGGAAACTGCTGGGCCAGGGAGCCTTTGGCAGGGTCTACCTCTGTTACGATGTCGATACAGGAAGAGAATTGGCTGTTAAACAAGTTCAGTTTGACCCTGATAGCCCTGAGACCAGCAAGGTAAGATACACTGCACAAGCTGCTTTGTCACATTATAAAAATCGTTTTTACTAAAATAAATATACATAAAAATTATTTGAAAAAACAAATAGACATGTTTGTCTATTTTATGCCGTGGATTTTTCTCTGTGTATCAATTAAATTCCCATCAGGAATTGTTATAAATTTTATTTTAGGGACATTAAAATGTTTATTCCTTAGGAAGTAAAAATTTCAGAATGATATCACCTTGATGGTTCATGAAGTTGGAATTTTTTTCTGTTTCTAGCAGTGTTGCAGGGACTTAATAGTGAATTCTGTTTTTCAGGAAGTAAATGCACTTGAGTGTGAAATTCAGTTGTTGAAAAACTTGCTACATGAACGAATTGTTCAGTATTATGGCTGTCTGAGGGATCCCCAGGAAAAAACCCTTTCCATATTTATGGAATATATGCCAGGGGTAAGTTAGCAAATCTTTTGAAGATAGATGTATTCTATTTAAAGTCTTAGGTGAGGAAGGAAAAATAATAAAAACGTTGATTATGAAATGTTAACCCTATTTAATGACATTTTGGAAGAGTTTTGAATTAGAACAGGGTAGTATAATTTTTATTTCCTATCCTCTTTACCTATCTTTGTATTTTTTCATCATTTTTTTTTAATGCTGAAATATTCTAAAGTAGGTTACAGATATCATAGTCCGTACTCAGTTTTCCCTAAGTGTCTTTAAAATGTCCATTATAGTCGGTTTGTTAAAACCAGGATTCAGTCCAGGGCCAGACATTGCATTTAATTGTTATGTCTCTCAGTTCTCTTTTCATCTAGAATAGTAAATTTGTACGTGACATTGATGTGACAAAGAGACAGCCTACTTTTTCTGTGGACAGTCTCATTTTATGGATTTGTCTAATGGCATCCTCCATGATATTTCCTGTAAACTGCAAGTTAGATTGAAAGTTTAAATCAGATTCGAATTCAGCGTGTGTTTATTAGAACACATCATGAATGATGCTGTGTGCTTTATGTCGCATCCCATCACAAGACATTCAGTTTCTGGTTGTCCCACTGTTAATGATGCTGAGGTGGACTGCTGGACTGGGATGATCATCATCCTGATTCCTCTGTTGTCAAGTTTTATCTTTTCCTGAAGACCAGAAAGTGATCTGAGGTGTATCATTGGCACGTTTGAACATCCAGTTGCTTTTCAACCATCCACCTAATGTTTTTAACACAGTTTGATAGTACTTGCCCAAGTCACTAAGTTCATTAGGAGTTGCAAAATGTGATTTTCAAATTCTGTCATTTCTCTTATATATTGCTTTTAGAATTTGTAAGATCAGCAGTTCAAATCCACCAGCTGCTCCTTGGAAACCCTATGGGGCAGTTCTACTCTATCCTTTAGGGTTACTACGAGTCAGAATTGACTCGACGAGTTTGGGTTTTTTTAAGAGTACATTCTAATATTAATGATTTTCAGGATGGTGGTATATTTACTATTTAAATATATATGCATTCCCATAATTTAAGGCAGTTTTTAAAAAGGGGTTTAATTTATGGTGATGTAGTGGTTAAGAGCTTAGCTGTTAACCGAAAGGTCAGCAGTTTGAACTCACTAGTTGCTCTGCATGAGAAAGATGTAGCAGTCTGCTTCCATCCAGATTACAGCCTTGGAAACCCTATGGGGCATTTCTGTTCTGAGTTGGAATCAACTGGACGGCAGCAGGTTTCGTCTTTTGGTTTAAGGGGATAGCTTATTAGAACTGAACGTTCAAGATCATAGTTTGAGCTTATGAATCAATAAAGCTGTTTGTAGATCATTACTGACAACAACAACACTATGATATTAAAAAGCATCTGCATTCGGATAAGGACAAAAGTGTTAAAAAAATAAAGAAACCACAAAGAAATTAAAACATAGAGTTTATTCGAGTAGTTATTATATATGCATATAGGGAAACCATTCTGATTCTTAAAAAAAAAAGCTCAGTGTAGGCTGGTTACAATGAAGTTTATACAAAGAAAAGGAGGGAGAGGAATAGAAAATGAGCCGTTGGCTAATCTTAACACGATTGATTAAACCCTGACCCCCTTACTGAGATAAGCTGACGTCAGGTTACTAGGTGGTCTCTGGCCTGGAGGGTGGGGAAGCATTCATTTGCACAAATCTTCAGGTGTAGTCTGGAGGTTTTAAAATGATAAAGAGTACTTCATCTCTCAAGAAGCAAGAGAAATTACCAAAAGTTACATTCTTTGCTTTAGGTAAACTCTGAGCCAGTGTATGGTTCACAAATGTCTTTGGCACAAAGGAGTTTGCAAAGATTTAATCACCGTGTTAAACTGAGCCTCAGTTTCCTTATTATTAACACTTCTTAAAGCCGGGAATAACAAGTTAACAATGCTGTGAAGTAGTTTAGCAGATCCTGTTGAAAAAAAGAAGTTAATAGCTTTATATGTTTTTTGGGGTCAGACTTTTACCCTTAATTTTGGGCTAGTGTGTAAGACAGTGGAGCCCTGCTGGCACCGTGGTTAAGAGCTTGGCTGCTAACCAAAAGGTTGACAGTTTGAATCCACCAGCCACTCCTTGGAAACCTTAGGGGGCAGTTATATTCTGTCTTACAGAGTTGCTGTGAGTCAGAAATGACTCGACAGCAATGGATTTTGTGTAAGAGAAATCCCTTGAAATCAAAGTAAGATGTCTGTTTTTAATTTCATTTTACACAAGAGAAATGAAAACGTGTTATGTTGGAATTGTGATTAATTTTTTTTTCAGATTTTTTATAGTTTTGTATGATAATATTTAAATTTAAAAAAATATTATTGTAAGTATGAGTAGAGATCCAGATTGTTGAAAATAAAATTAAAAATAGTTGGCCAAAACTGATTTACGTTACAGATGTAGATGGGTGATCTGTATATTCAGCAATCTTAAGACTAAACCATTAACTATTCAGGAAGAAGTGTCAGATTGTATTTCACATTGGTTACACTTGATTTTATAACGGCATCTGTGTTCTTCAAAGCAGAAGTTGTCATTCTTGGAATTTGAAAAACAGGTTACTAAATTAATAAATGATATAGTTAAATGAATCACACAACATATACAATTGCCTGTGGCAGTTTCTGGACAACATATATGTTCCTAGACCTTCCTGAATCCTCAAGTTTGTGAACGATGCTTTATAATTTCCCTCATTAAATTTAATATGATGGACCCCTTTATGCCATAGATATAAGCTGTGCCAAAATTGACATTGCAATCTTCAGTTTTCCCAAACTTAGCATTCCATGCTTCAGCTTATCTAGAACTATTTTCAGACTTAGAGCCATAACTTTCTTCTATTTTCAGTACCTCGACTAGCAGTTGGCTTCTCTTACTCTTTTTCATACACAGAAAAAAACTGTTTTTAGCTGGTCGTTTCCCAACCCATTCCAGTTGTACACACTGTAGAAGGTAACATTTTTATGGCACACGGGGGTAAACAGACTATACCAATTGACCTGTCAGCATCCAGAGGCCACTGGCTTAACTCTCCTGAGGCCCCAGAAGATCCATATCTGCATCACCCATTTGCAGCCTACAAGTATTTTTGGCCTATAGTTTGGAAAATTCAATTTTAGCAGAATTATTTTGTGTTTTACTACAAGTAGAGACAATAAGTGGATTGTGAACAAACAAACCACATTAAATTTATGTGGTGTTTGGGTACACTGCCAAAGATGGCCTACCTGTGTTTGAAGTTTTGAGTAAGCAGAATTGCAAATTGCTGCTCTTTCAGGGGTTGCTCATGAACCGTGGAAACAGCAAATGGTTAAATCTGTAAGATCCAAGGATCTATTTTTCTATAACAAAGTACATGGCTTACCAAAATTCAAGGAAAGACGGTGTTAAAAATTATCAATACTCACTGAAATTTGAACGTAAGATTTATTCTGAGCAGTTATTCTATATTCATATAAACCTATTGCCGTCGATTTGATTCCAATTCATAGCTACCCTATAGGACAGAATAGAACTGGCCCATAGCGTTTCCAAGGAGCAGCTGGTGGATTTGAACTGCTAACCTTTTGGTTAGCAGCTGGTGGATTTGAACTGCTAACCTTTTGGTTAGCAGCTGAGCTCTTAACCACTTCACCACCAGGGCTCCATGTGCATATAGGGAGACCATTTTAATTCCAGAAAAAACAAATAGCTCGAAGAAGCTAGATACAGTGGGGTTTATAAAGAGAAGAAAACCCATTGCCTTCAAGTCAATTCTGACTCATAGTGACCCTACAGGACAGAGTAAAACTGCCCCGTAGGGTTTCTAAGACTGTAATCTTTACGGAAGCAGACTGTCACGTCTTTCTCCTGCAGAGTGGCTAGTGGGTTTAACTGCCTACCTTTCAGTTAGCAGCCGAGTGCTTAACCATTGCGCTACCAGGCCTCCTTACAAAGAGAAGAAAGGGAAAAAACAAAAACAAATCCGTTATCGTGGAGTCGATTCTGACTCATAGCAACCCTGTAGGACAGAGTAGAACTGCCCCATAGGGTTTCCAAGGAGTCCCTGGTGGATTCCAGCTGCTGACCATTTGGTTAGGAGCGAAGCTCTTAACCGCTATGCCACTAGGGCTCCATAAAGAGAAGAGGAGGAAGAAATATAGAAGACCAGCCGTTGGCTAATCTTAAATGACTGATTGAACCCTGCCCTCCCCCTTTTACTGAGATCAATGGATATCAGTTCACAAGATGGTCTCTGCCCCTCTACCCGGCCATGCCTTTTGAGGTTCAATTTTAGTAAGTCTGGCTTCCAACAGGAAAGAAAGGATTTGCAACTTTGGGTGAAAGAAAGGCTCTGGTGGAGAGATTTTGGTCAGGGTTTTTTTAAAAGTGAAATATTTGGTTTTGTGGGTAAGAAAATGCTATAATCAAAGCAAGAGATCTGTCATCAGTTTCTCTCTTTGACAGCAGAAACATTCGAGTATATTTTATTTATAAAGTCAATTTTGTCCCTCAGGAAGCATTTCATTTTCATCTTTTAAAGTGTTGATTATTAATCAAATTTGTACATCAGAGTCACCAGAGAAGCTTTTTCAAAAATTCAAGTGCCTGTGTTTCACCTCAGGCTAATCCAGCATTTTCTGAGATGGCACCCCATCCTGGCTAACAAAAACACTTTAAAAATTAGAAATTCCACTTTAATTAATGTTTTCTCATGTCTTGAACTGGAATGTGAGTGTGTAAAGGAAAAAAACTTTGAGATCTTATACATATCTGATTTTATGATCATATTCACTCTTTGTCAATTAGCAGATATCAGTAAATCACTGTTTTAAAAATAAGAACAAAACAAACCAAAGTGGGATTTACATAGAGAAGAGAGAAGGAAAAACAAAAATATATTCAAGGAAAAAAAAAGCAAGATAAAAGTACTGGAGAATTTTGAAAAACAGTTGCAAGAAACAGGCTTCCTGCAGCTATAACTCTTCAGCAGTTCTACTCAGGGAATAGATTTTTGCTGAATTATATGATACATAATGTCCTTACTAAGAACACTTGCCCTCTACAATTATGACCTCACAGTTATGAACTAGAACTCTTTTAAAAATAAAGATTTAAAAGTGGTTTTCATTTCAAACCATACCATAGATTTTTTGTTTTCTTTTATCCTAGGGTTCAATTAAGGACCAACTAAAAGCATATGGGGCTCTTACTGAGAATGTGACCCGGAAGTACACCCGCCAGATTCTAGAGGGTGTCCATTATTTGCATAGTAACATGATTGTTCATAGAGATATCAAAGGTAAGTAATGAGGTATTTTTATTTAAAGTACTGTTGTAGAGAAAAACTTGAAGTAAAAACAGAGAAGTTTATTAAGGGTTTGAAACAATTGCAATTGGGGGCCTATGTAGCCCATTGGAAATGGAACCAGGTAGTCCCAGGGCAGTTTCATTACACAAGTATTCTTATGGGGTAAAAAGAGGAACCAAACCATAGGGAGGGTAGTTACACGAAAATTAATCAATATTGTAATAATCACACTTTGTTTGGTTACTGATTATTAACAGTACAGTTAGTGATTACAGATAGTTTCACAGGATGCTTAGATCATGGTCACAGGATGCTTACATGTAGTTTCTTTGTCTGTCTTGAAAAAATATCTTGTTGGCAACAGCACCCAGACGGCATTCTTCCTGAGTTACATATATTTTGAGGGGTGCAGATGGTCACTTGGTTAAGACCCCTTGGGGCATGTTGTTTCATGTCCTGGTTTTGCCCACCGAGGAAAAACATATTTTTCTCAAAAAAACGTAACTGTTACTGGAATCCAGATTAAAATTAGATGACATGGTCAGCATATTCTGCCTCTGTCTCACTCACTGTACTGAAAGTTGTCTTTTCCTGAGACACTTCCCTCCTCTTGATCAGAGATCTCGTAGAGCATCATTTGATTATTGATGAATCAAGCAGTCTCTCTCACACAGACACAGTTGCTACTGTTATTTAGTGGCTGCTTGAATTATCAAGCATTTAAGACTTCAGACACCACACCGCAGGTGTGACCAAGCGTCACTGATGGTTTTCCTTTTACCTTGACATAGTGGAGTTCTCTTCTTCAGGCTGGGCTGGCCTCATGTCCCTTACAAAGGAGTAACTTGTCTTCTGCAAGGTTTCCCTAGCTTCAGCCTGCTTTAGAGGGAGACACTCTGGTGGCCTCAGAAGGGGGAGGGAGAGAGGTGACAGTGTCAGGACAGTGGATCAGAGGCACAAGAGCTGACTTACTCTTTCAGTCCCTCAAGCAGGGTTTCATCAAGGTCATCACTGACCTGGATGTTTTTTATATACATTATCTTTTTCATGGGCCTCATGTTAGTTCTTGAGGTCAAAACATGAGTGGTTAATTTTATGTAACATTTAACAGTGTCTATTGTGATAATGATGACCATTAAAATCATAATTCTAGCAAACAAAATTGTCTCTAAAAAGAGAGCTGAGTTTACAAGGGAAAAACCAAAATGTCAAAATGGGATTTATGCTGAAATTTCAGTTTGATAATGGTGAAAAGGAAGGTTTGATAACAAAAAGGAAACCCTGAGAATTTTAACAGCTCATATCTGAAATATCCAACTCATCTAGAAATTTTAAGCAATAGGTATAACTGTCATCATGGAACATAAGACAGATAAGGTAGTTGATCTATTCAGTTAACAATAAGCAAATGCACTAGGCAGCATTATCTTCTATCACTTACATGGGAAAAACATTGTATCAAAACATGGAATAACTTGAAGATTATGGAGTAAAGCAATTGAAAACAATGTAGTGAATAAAACAAATAGAAGAGCAAAGAAATTAATATAAATAAACTTCATCTATGAATTCAATTTAAATAATATTTTTTAGTTTACTCAGTCCCATGTAGCTGATTTTGGTTCCATGCTATTCTGGATCAGCTGCAGTCTGCGAACTTGTCAGCTTCTACATAAGAGTTCTGGAAATCATGGTTTAGTCACTGTCCTTTCCACAAGCCCAGTATAATCCATCTTTTTGTTGAGATATTTTGGTCAAACGTCTTCAGCAAATCAGCAGAATAGTAACTTAATCTGCAGATGACAAAACTTGATATGGCCATAATTAGAATAATAATAGTTCTTAAAAGTGAAAGACTTGATAGAAATTGAGAGGTTATATAAAGCCAAATAAAGTCAGTTTAAAAAACTTTAGACAAAAATCTCTCTAAATATAATGATTAACCTTATTTTCAAAAGAGCTTCAGATATAACAAGTAATAATCTTGAGACATAATACCATAGTCAGGATATATTAAAAATATACCCAGATTATCAAGTCTCTAAATATCTGAATAGTAGTTTAAAAAAAAAAAAAAAAAAAAACAACTTCATGGGTAAACTGTGAATTCCCCAGTCATACCATTGGCTCTGATGATGCTAGATTAAAAAAAACTGCTGCAACTTAAATAGCAATTAACTTAATAAAATTATGACATAATATTGTGTGTTTGCAATCTAGTATCAGGCATATATTACTAACATATAAATTCTAACTTAAAGAAAATTTGGTATTTTTCTTGATTTGACATGTTTCATACAATTCATAATATTTTAAATAAATCCTTTGGCTTTTTATTAATTTTTAAAGTTGTCAGAAGTTTATTACAAATCATTGAAGAACAATACTTATTTAAAGCAAAGATTTTAAAGGTAAAAACCTTAGTCCTGTCAAAACTATGAGACTTTATTTTGATTTAGGAACCTTAATTTAATGAGGTTGAACTCTTTATCTTTGAGGCAGATTGTATAAAGAATTGTATAAAGAACAAAATTAAAGAATAAAATTAAAGGAAAACTTTGTTATTTTAATCATAAGAAATTCAATTCTTTGTTTTATATGCTATTTGACATTGACAGCTCTTAAAATTGTTATGAATTAACCTACTAAACTTTTAGTTATAATAAGAACTTTAAATAAATTTCATTTAAAATTTCCCCTCATTGTAAAAGTTAAACCCTTTTTTATTAACAAAATGAATTTATCATTTTCTGAAAACTGAGACCTTTTAATTTTACAAGTCCTTATTATTAAACCAACTAGAAACATTATAACTTTAATTCAACAATACTATCTACATGTAGAAAACTATTACTTTCTCTTTTGCATGTTTTATAGAATCTGGTAAAGAGAGGTTTTGTGAAGAGATAGTTTTGGAATAATTTAAAGGCCTAATGTAGCAGCCAAACAGACAATTTTATCTTCTTCTGTGCACTTTTAAATAGACTATTCTGTAGCTACTGTAGGCTGAACTCACGGCTTTTAAGATAAGATAATTCTTAGATATTAGACAAGAATTACATAAATTGATATATTATTTGTTGAAAACCAAGAAGTACATTGTAAATTTCATGAAATTAATGAAGGCAAATCTAGAAAACAAAAAGCTATAGACATTTATGATAAACAGACATTTACCAGTAAGCATCTAGTTGGGCTGAGTTTTGAGGGGGAAAAAGGAAACAAAGGTCTATATACAGAAAACAACTTCCTATTCTTCTTAAATGTTATAAAATTTTCTTCAGACTGTAGATGGCAATTTAATTTAGATCATTTATTATCTCCTTTTCATGGTGGGATAAAGAACTTGGGCCACC